AAGACTGAGTTGATCAAAGGTTGTGTTTTTGGAGTTTTGATCAGTGACCTGGAATATTTCAGTGTGTCCAGCCTTACCACATTAGAGAGGGAGTGCAGCTGTGTCCTCGCATAACCTTCCTGTTTTTATTAAATCATCCCAATTAATTGGATCTGAAACGGCTCAAGAGATGAACACGCAACGTTGTCACTGCTTCTCATTACACAGACAGAAGCATCCTGATGTTTAGGTTTTGTTTATTTTATTACATTTGTTTGTTTGTTTTCTTTATCCCCTCTCTTTAGTTAAATCAGAGCGCTGTGTCATATTTCTGAGTTTATATCTGCGTCATTGTTGCGCTACAGATCGTTGCTCCAAAAAATGAGGCAGATTTAGGATTATTAGCAGGACTGCAGGGTGACAGCGTGGGACGAAAGGTTTTGTTTTTCACTCTCGGGCTGATTGCTGTTGTTGCCAAAAGGGAGATGTCCGACTGACTTTCAAGTAATCACACACTGCTGTGAGGAGCATTCAAAATAAGTGGACAGAATGTGCAGATTGGTGTGTATTGGCAGAGCAGAAGCTGCTGTTTTAGTCATAATTAGGATGTTGTACCTATGAGAACCAGAGAGAGAACTCATTTCTAACATTAAATACTCCTGCATGAGCGAAATGTTTGTTTGTTTTGCTCAATGATCTTACCTAAAACTTTTGTGGCTTGAAAATGTTTCAATATTTCCCTTGATGTGCTTTGACTTTGATGGATTTTATACTATATGCACAGAAACACTGATGCAACATCGTCGAAAAATTATATTTTACCTTCAGAATATTTACATCTACTTTACATGCAGACATAAATACAAGAATTTTGATGCCACTTTTTTTTTTTTTTTTTTTTTAAAGTTTGCGGTAAAGGTGCTCAGTGAATGGAACCTTAGCTTATTTGTTGCTTTTGAAAATGTTTAAGCACATTTTTCTCCCTTTAACTGATGCTGAAATAGTCAATAATAAGCTTTTGTTTTATTTCATTTTTCAGAAATGATCTATGTACATACATATATTCTACAAAATAAATGCTTTCATACATAGGTGTACTACCAAACCATAACTTAGACAATGATTTGTCTCTGTGAAAATGTCCACTTGCACTGTGCCTTTGAATCATTTTCAGTTTAGACAGATTCAGCCCATACATTTTAAAATAAATCCATTTACTCTGCACCTAAAAGAACTAAAGAACACATTCAAATAAATTGCTGACAGTGTCATAGTGTTGCTGACAATGAGAAGGAAAAAAAAAACTGCATCAGAGATCCAAAAAGGATGTTCAGCCCTGAGTATAATTTAGACTTTTGTTGCTTCCTATCTATCTTAGAAAGGAACTCCTCCAGGGTAGGGGAGGTGATCCTGTCCCCAGGTAAACTGTTAGGTCTGTGGGACTGTACGGCAACATGCCCCAGCAGGGCTGCTCCTCACCACCCTCTATAGCAGAGGCAGCAATTGTCAGCTGTGAACCAGATGGTTTGCTGGGAGCACAAAGGAGTGACAGCTGTCATTCACGAGAGCCGAGACACTGAACTTCTGCAGTCAGCTGGGTTTCATGACTGCACGTTCAACTGGAGAAAACTGAAACAGATCCACGGGTGGTGCAAATACTGTAAAGCAAATATTCTTACATGTCATAGCGTTTGCTAAAGTTGATGAAAAAATGCTGGAAGAGTTTAAGACTTGCACTTTGGATTTGTGTAATTAGAGAACTTCTGCTACTAAAGATGGTACATTATATGAACAGTGATGCAACAACTGTCTTTTAACTCAGTGCTTTTCTGCATCAAAATATTTAAAAATGACATGCATCAAAATAAAAGAGAAAAAGTACAATAGATGTCAGTGATATAGAGTGAAGCTTAAGCTGCACCTTAAACAGGACATTTTTGAGGAATTAGCAAAAACGACTGAGACTGTGCATCAGTGTTAAAACATTAAAACTCCCAAATAATAAATGTGCATCATTTATTTTCCCACATCTCCACTTCTTGAGGGTGGAGATGATTTACGATTCAATGAATACAAAAATTACACTTATTTTGTTTCACCAGAGAGCAAATAATAAAAGTCAGCTTCACTGCAGTGTCGATGATCAGAACGTTTCATGAGGATTTGTCATTGCGACTGTTTATTTTATTGTCATGTGAGACTCTTTCATCCCATAAGAGTGTGTGTGTGATCTTTCCTGAACAGTTCCCCTCTCTAAACAGCGTGCAGTCACCGAGCCAGACAAAAAGGTGTTACTGATGACTGTGTCCAGCAATTTAAGCTATTGAGTGCTGCCCCCAATTCACCTTCTTTCTAAACTTTATGGCTATAATTGCCATAAAGCTCCTCCTAAATCCTCCCAGCCCCCGCCAGCCACTCTTGAGGGCTTTGTAACATGTTCAATATTCCCATTGTACAGTACCTTTTTTTTTTTTTCTTTCTTTCTTCCACAAGTGCCACCATGGCATAGTTGAGACTTTATTTAATGAAGTTGGGTCAGAGTTCATCATGTTAGCAGTCTTAAGGCTTTGGGGGCAGCATTCAGCCTCCAACACTTCATGTCCAACTCGTACAACTGCTCCATATGTGGCAAAACAATAAAAACATCCATCAATGTCCTCCCTTGTCTATGTAGGGCGGTTATGACTGATGATGTGTACGGCACATTGATGCACTTGAGGGGCAGGGGACTGTGTGAATGTTTGTTTATGTCGAGTGAGAATTTGTCAAAAGGTTTATGTCATTGCTGGCATCAGGCTCCTCGAGCTTGTACTGGGTGGTCTTTGTCTGTTTGCATCCGAAAAGAGCTTCGTTCTCACTCTCATTTGTCCCCTATTGATTCTCTAAATTAGGTTGATGAGAGGCCCTCCTATCAGGTGGCATATTAATTGGGTCAGGCTGGATCTTATATGAAATCCAAATAATGGCAAGCTGAACCCCAACACTAAACCTTTGTCCTCTGAGCGCTCTCTTTCACCAATTAGCCTCGCGGTGAATCTGCTTCCTGCCACCTCTGCTGCCCGTTACTGTTTTCCAAGAATCAGGATGCCACCAGTGGCTTAAGTAAGAGTGTGTATGAGTGTGTGAGTCAAGGTGTTACGCTGTGCTGTTGCTGCTACTGAAAACACTAAAGCCAGGTCCTCTGCAGTTGTTTTATTGCTTAAAATAAGTATAAACTGCTAAATAAGGCTGCATATTTTTGGAAAGATTGGCGCAGTTTACATTCTTTTTTTTTTAAGGACACTGATGTAATAAGTAAATAAAATTCCCCTCAGAAATCTGCTGTCACATAACCACCTGAGTTTTAAGGTAGCAAGAAATATATTCAACAGAACCTTTGCAAATGTTTTATTTATTACAGTTGCAGTATTCATAAATGATGAGCGGGAAACATAATGAATCTTTACAACGCTAACTTAACTAACAATTTAGTCATTTAGTGTGTGAGTATTAGTGTTATATTTTATAATCTGATGCATATTCTATTACGTTTGTGAACCTTAAAGAGTTTCAATTCACATCATTCTAAATAGCATTTTATTTAAAGGAGTGTATTACTTTATCAGTTAGTGAACAAACATTATCGTATAAATAGTATAAATAAATAATTTAACCTGCTATCATTAAGTGATTCTTACATCCTTACTTTGCAAAAACATTCAGCAAATATGAACATCTGGCGTAATCTTCTCCAGAACTAACACACAACGTAATCTTAGATTGAGGAGTCTCACCTACGGCCACCTCTTGATTAAAAACCTGATTAATACAGACCGAGAACAACACTTTAAGTAACAAACTGTGAATCCTGCAGCCAGTCGTTTAAAGTTAGCATAGCTGAAAATTTAACATTAGCAATTCTAAGCAGGTTGCACCGCGCAAGTTAATTCTTACAAAGAGATTTTATCAGCTACAGCAGCCACCTGCAACTTAAATGAACCAGCTAATTAAAACGTAGGTTATCTTGCAGTTTTAGAGCAGAGAGGAAAGTCAAAGATGGGGCCTGATGGTTGACTGAGCTGACACTTGCTCAAATTTCCGTTTAATAACTAGGCAGAGAATATTTTAAGTCACTTCCACTTAGAATTAAACATGATAACACATTATATTGTTCCATTAACATCACGAGCAAATACTCAAATTCCTTCATCTATGGAAAAAAACCCAAAAAACAAACGACAAAAAAACCTAATTTTTCACTGTAAAGTTTAATGCAGTCTATTATTTTGGTCTGCTCTGCTGAAGTTACATTCCAGTTCATAAACAGATGTTTCCCAGCAACTGACATTAATTAAGTCTTTAGTAGTTTGGACATTTTTTTTTTAGGTTTTGATGGTGCAACCTGATTTAGTAAATGAATATTTTGAAACCAGCTGGTGCACATACTGAAAACGTACACACAAGCAGCAATGGATAAACAAGAAGCAGCTGCAAACTAGTCCTCTCAGTCTGTGTGACATCTACAAGAAGACATCACCTGTTGATCATTTTATATTATGGAAAACAGCCTCTTGCTTAATTCAGTACATTAAGAGGTTTTGCTGCTGTGTAGAGTCTTGAGCTGTGCACAAAATCCCTCATTTACAATATAATGCATTCCATTTACTGTTTGAGTGTCCAAATTTCAACATTTATTCACTCCATAGTTGGATTAGACAAAATGCAATGCCTTGCTTTTTGAAGAGTAAAATGTTGTCTGTTACTGAGGAAAAAATAAATAAGGGGACAGGGGAGTGATTTCAAACACAGCTTTGGTTTGACGTATATAGTAGCTCATGGGAGGAATACGAACAAACTTTAGATTGATGTGCCACTAACATTTCACCAACTTTGACTATTCTTTATTTGCGCTGCTGTTAACTTACATTTCTTTCTTCTTCTTCTTTTTTTTTTTGTTGTAACGCAATTATGACTTGTAGCAAATGCAAAGTTCCCTATTTGCATATGTACCAGAACCATTAGGACAAAAACAACAAATCCCATAAGCTAAATAAATGATTTATTGTACAAAAGAAAAATGACAGTAAATAAACAACAAAAGGCAAAAATAATTGAACAGTTATTCATATGCACAACCATTAAACTACAAAGTTGGGGTGATTTTTTTTCTTAACTACACAAAGAACGGAGGAATGAAGGGAGAAAGTGAGAAAAACGTTAGAAGCGGTGAACCTGTCCAAAACATCATAAATGTCAACATTTGGGTAGGTATTTACATAGAGATTTCTTACTCTCATATATTTATATGAAAAAAACTCTCACACATACCAGTATACAAACACTAAAATTCAAAATGCAACTTCTCAACAGCTTTAACCATAGTTAAGCCACAGATGTGGGCACAGCTAATTATTTCTTTTGACCACACATTACCAGAGCCGCTACCATCAGTCACTCTGTCAATAACTCAATCTGAACCTGAGAGCAAGGGGACCCTGTGGTTTCATCTACAATATTTTTGGAGGGGATGAGGGGAGGTTCTTATGAGTTAAATGTTTGCACAGATTAATTAATGACTTCTTTTTTTTTAATTTATAAAAAGCAAGGTGTTTAGAAGGCTAAAGTGAGGTAGACAGACTTTGAAATGCATTGTAATTAATATTAATAAATAGACAATTGACCAGTTGAATTTTTTTTTCTTCCAACCACTGCCCCTAAACCAGCTTTTTCCTCCCTTTGAAATGTTCTAGCATATTCCTGCGATCACAAAAAGTTACAGCACACAACATGTCATCCTCTACTTTGGCTAACAATCCCTGGATACTCCTCCCATTCTTATATGGGTGCTTTCACTTAAAACACACACAAAGGCAAAAACACGTCTATGCAAGACAGTCGACACATTGTTTAAGTCAGGATGTAGTCTCTCTCTAACGTGGTAACAGATTAAAGTTGATGGGCGGGCCACTTCCAGTTAAAGCATTCTATGTTCATTGATCCAGACACTTACTACACACATGACTTATCACCCAAAGTTGGCTTGGAGGCCTTTCAGGCCGCTGGTACAGTACGTCCAGGTTCCAGATTGGATCGAAGTGTGTGAGTGTATGGACAGGCCCCCGCTTCAGACAAAGTCAGGAAAGTGTGATGGTATCAAAAAGAAGTGATAACCTCTCTAGTTTATGGTTGATCACCAGAAGCTTGAAGAGTTTTTTTTTTCCTTTTCTTTTTTTTTAAATCCTATACTGTACAAGCTCTCTTGTGCTTGGTAAAACACAAACAACACTTTACCTCCTCACGCCATGAACGTCCCATAGTGCAAAATTTATTGTTGGTAAGGTAGAGTGCCCCAAAAAAAGGTTTTTGTACCCCTTTTTTTTTTTTTTTTTTTTAATATACATATATCATTTATATATAATGTCAGAAGGCTCTTCCTTTATCCAACAGCATAGTGCTTTCGTTTATAACAAAAGGATATCTTTGCTTTGACATCCAGGAGACAAAGACAAGCTTCAAGCATACTAATCTACTCTGTGTTCAAGCACTAACAATATTTTCTCCATTAGGACAATGATGATACGGTTGAGGTTGAAGTGGATGGGGGCATTTCAAAATGCAATCAAATATGTTCTCTATACTAAAGTCAGTGGCTGAGTTACATTCTCTTGATTTTTTGTCTTTTAAAAAAATTTTTTTTTGCTCACTATGTAGTTTGTTTTGAATGATAAAAGCTATATTTTCTTAGTACAGTACTGCAGTTAAAGGAATTTTGCGTGAATGAAGTGGTTTGACAGGAGTAATGTAGCTACTGCTCTTTCTTAATTTAAGTGTTTTTTTTTGTTTATTTTTTGTTTTTTTTTGTACACAGATGTGAACATTGATCTAAGTAGAAATATGTAAACTTCTAGCGATACAACTGGAATCGTGTTTTGTGCTATTTTAAGCTCAGCGGTTCACTTAGATTATAACAGAGTGAACATTCGAGCATGACGACACCCTTGTGTATTCTATTTCAGAGTATGGATTGTGTTTTGCTATTACATATTCAGTCCCAAGCCTCTTCAAGTTATGAAACAGTGCATTTACTTCTCTGTTTTAAATATTTGAATGTGTATTTTTCCCATGTTGGACAAAAGGTTCTTGTCATCCTGCAGGACTTGCTCTCCTCCTCCTCCTCTTCCAGATGTGAGTGCATCTACATTTTCTGTTTTGTTTTAGACTTTAGTGTGCAAGGCAAAACTAAAACTGCATTACGTACCTTTGCAGAATGGCAGAAAACAGCTATACTGACTTTAATCGTTTGCTTTGAAAGATACAGTTAGACTAGTATAACCTCTTCTCTTTCCTTTTTTGAGTTTTACAAGACTACAAATAAAAGATCAAAGTAACTGTGAAGAGGTTTCGTAGATACTCGAGAATGTCACACTGGGGTGTTATACATTAATAGTGGGTATAGGTTTGGTTTTGAATCTCCTTAACACTTTACATCTCTAAACATCTGTAAACAAGATTTTGGATTTATCCTAACAGTATCTCCAGACTTGAATCCTCCGCGCATTAGTATGTGTTTTCTTTTTGTTAAAGTGATGGATTGCAAAATAATTCTGATCATGCCCCCTTGCAAAACATTTTTGTGGATCAAATCTCACCCGTAACTAAGTGTATCTGGGAAATTGGGTATTTCCAAACTCACCTTAGAACTGAAAATTGCTTTAAAATATTGTAAATGCTTATGTCTCCTGTCATCTCAATCCACTAACCTGGACATTTCACAAAGATGCCATTAAAAAAATATTAAAAAACCCACAAAACTAACACGTACTCTATAACATAGTTGTGTCTCATTTTCTGAAGCTGCTCCACAAGCACAACCTCTTCAAATCATTCAGAATGTACTGTGTTTCCATCGCTCAGTTCTTCTTTTTTTTTGATTCATATTTCATTCATAGCTTTTTGTACAGTTAGAATCAATTTAATTACTGGTAAAAATGGAAACCCAGTGGGATGCTTTTGTGGCCGAGCAAAAGTGAAATCTGGTGCTGAGGAGTGGGTTCTGGTGCCGGGAGGTGGGAGGGGGTGGAGCTCCGTAAGGGTTTTGGGTGGTTTGATGTGGGCTGTACACGAGTGTGTGTCTCCTCCTGCAGCCTAAGAGCAGCCACATCGATCCACCACCATCCCCGGGATCTTGCCGTGAATGATCTGCTGCTTGTCATTGAAGTAGAGCATGTTAATGGGGGACATCTTGGTTGGGGTACAGCAGGGCCCTGCGGAGCCTCGGGGGTTGGCGTGCTGCACCAGGTGGGTGTGCGGGTATTTCTGCATGAACATGTACTCGCACTGGCCGGAGCAGTAGTTGGCTTTGTAGCGTTTGGGTGCAATGATCCAGTCCCAGCCGAACGCCTCGAAGTCCACAGTCAGAGGGTAGCGGCAGCAGCGGGACTCGGTGGAGTGCTCATCACAGTCCAGGCCGAGGTTTCTCCGAGAACGTTTGGTCGTCTCAAGAACCTTCACTTCCAGGAACGGCTGCTGGAATCAGGGGGAGGAGGGGAACAGACAGAAAGAGGTGGTTATAAGAGAACAACAGCAGAGACACAGTGGAAATACAAATATTTGACCATCAGTATATATAAGTGGAATCAACATTCTGATAAATATGCTTGTTTCTTTTCTGTCTGAGAGTTTGCCTTATTTCTTGGATAAGAAAATGACAGATGATAAGAAGTGCCTTGAAAAGGAATTTAGATCTCTGTACTCTGTGAAAACATCTCTTGGGACAAAACTGGAAAAGGTTGTTGAGATTTGGGATTTGGGCACATTTGCCCCTGTTTAAACCTCTACGACGATTATGTGCAAACTATTTGGGATATGCAACACTGCTAGCTTCATCAATCTCTCTTTCTTTCAAGTTCAAAGCATTCTGTCATTCAGACATGCCCACAACTGTGACACAGAAAGCCACAGTAAGATAGCCACTATACATAACCAGTAATCTTGTGTGTGTGAATCCATTAATGCGACGGCATATAGTTCAGACTTGTACCATGTTGAAAGTAATAGGTAGATGTTAAAAGGTGGTCACAGTGTTTACAGAAAAGTGACGAGGGTCATTTAGACATGGAGCTGAAACATTCAGGTGCCATCAGATTGATGGAAAGGAGTGCATGTCAAACAAGAGCTTCACTGTGTATCTAGAAGACTGTCACCATGTCTGTGCAATAGTTATGGAGGTAGAACAGGAAGCAGCTAGCTTTGCTTAGCATTCAAGGCTACTTCGACTTCTATACTTCTAAGGCTCATCATTTGACAGGCTGTGTATTGCTTGTTTATTCTATGCTAGTCTGATTCAGCAGATGTTGACCATGGGTTTAAACCTGCCATTGGTCATTCATTTGTCATGTCTTTTTCTCCTCCCCTTTCACAGTCTATGTGTTACCGTTTTTTCTTTTTAATTTTCTGTTTGGGCTTTTTAACCTTTATTATAGTTGAAAGTGGAGAGAGACAGGAAATATGGGGAGAAGAGTGGGGGAAGGACCGACGGTAAATGGTCATGGGCTGGACTCGAACCCACAACCTCTGCGTCAGGGACTACAGCCCCTGTTCATGGGTCGCCCACCCAACCTGCTGAGCTATCTGGATGCCGTTTCTTTCTTTCTTTTTTTTTTTTTAAATTCCCTTCAGTTCATGAAACAACAAAAACCTCTGCGCAAAAACCTACCACACTGAAAGATTCAAGGATTTGGATGGTGCAGTAAAGTCCTGCGATTTGCTTTTAGTGATTTAGCCATTTTAATGACAGTGCTTGCCTTCCTGGGTGCAAATGTTCCACCAAAACAATTACATCACTATTTTGATCGGACACTGTTGCAGCGTCCGTTGCTTAGCTCCGCCCAAAAGTGATTGGTTTAAAGTACGACAAATTAGTGTTTTTTCCCCACTCTAGTAGAGTGATGATGAAGTTTTCTATGCAAGACTAAATCTGTACAGAAATAAAAATGTAAAAATGACAGCTAATTTAAGGTCTATAGAGGTTTTTTTTGGTACTTATTGCTAAACACTTTGTCCACCAGCTCTTCTGTGCAGTCTCCCTGCTGGTTGCCTGGCAAACTCACAACAACAACAAAATAAAGACTCTAGGAAATCAGTGAAATAGTTACAGCATACACTTCTGTTCTACTTCTTCTCTCTAATTGTGAAAATTTTAGAACAAATCAAAATAGAATGTGTTAATCAGTGAGCTTCAAATGTGCCGGCAGGAGTATTTTTGTATGTGTGTTCCTCCTTTCAGTTTTTGTGCTAAGCCAAGCTAACCACTACGGAGTTACAGGTTCATATTGAGTAGTTAGGTATGAAAGTAGTATCAATCTTCTCATCTAACGCTTGTAATACAAAATGATAAACCACATATCCCAAAATACTGGACTTCGCTGTTTCATATTTTAAGTAAATAAAGTGTGTGTTTGTGTAAAGCGTTCATCTCAAGCTGAAGTGGGACTGTTATTAGTTCCACAAACGTCTTTTCATGCATATCTTTGTCAGGCTGGTGGAGACAAAGAGCTTTACAAACATCTTCCTTATGCAAGTGAAGATGACCTTTGACCTTTCTCTCATGCATTGGATCCACTAGTTTATATGTAGCCGAGTTACAAAGTGAATGATTTCTGCTACAAACACAAACTGATAATCAATGTAAACAGTTACGACAGACATGTCACAAGAGAGAAAGCAAAGGTGTAAAAAACATGTGTGATAGTGATGGTCACACTGCCACAGCACACTGGGACACTTGAATTAAACAGAAAAATCTTTATTGTTATTGGTATCAGAAATATCTGACGCTAAAAAAAAAGGCCTATTTAAAAAAAGTTCAGCTACCACACCTTGTTGGCTTTCTGTCATGCTGGTTTGTAATCTCTCACAACTACTGGTAAGTAAGCAAGTAGCTAAGCCAGAAAAAGCTTTAACCTGTTTATAATTCTACATCTACTCATTTCATAATTAATCCAAACTTATGATGTTTTTGGTCATTTTTTAAAGAAGCAACACAGTGTGCCATTTGAGCACTTTTTCAAAGCTCACTGACAGAGACAAGCCTTTTCTATCGCTGATGGCCGACTCTGTATGCTTGGTTTGATCCATGACCCGGGAGGTCATCTGCAGGCTACCATAACCTTGACCTTTGGGCAAAGCGAGCAGATCAAATATTTTACTCCATCATGTTTGTTTTACAAAGCCTTCTTCTCCCCACAGTGATTCCAGCTGGGCTCGAGCACAGTGTTTTGTGACGCATTCAAAGGAGGAAATAAGCTGAAAGGCTGTTGTGGTGAGACTATGTCAGCTTGGCCTTTAAGGCTTTTGTTGTAGAAAAAAAGGACCCAGAGGATCAGGGAGAAGCAGCGTTTGACTCTTTCTTGCTTGTTGTGTTTTGTTTTATTTTTATACACTTGCCTGTGTTTTTGATCTTTTCCCTTTTTTTGCTGAAGAATAATATTGCACACTGCTGTGTGCTCAGAGGGCAGCAATTTATTGGCCAAGACACCAGAGCTGACCTCTGATATGTGTTGTGAAGATCTGACCCAAATAACCACTTGGTAAATATTTGGTGTTGCCTAACTGGGATAAGTGGCCTACATAATTCAACATAGATGTTGTATGTAACTGTCAGTCGCAGTAACTGTGGGGTTTCTAACAGGATTAATGGTTCACGGATGGTTTTGCTTTGAGACTGAAGTTTGAACTCATCCGTGCAGCCCCATCCATTACATGAGACCCAGAGGTTCACCATTAAAAATCAGAATCTAAGCAAATATGTAGGCCAAGACAAGTGCAGTGATAAATGTTGTGTATGTTAAAAAATCCTGCCTGAGGCCCAGAAGCATCCCTTCGACCGAGGATGTTTAAAGAAACTCAAACTATTCAGAGGGTTACGATCCGTCTCACTTAACTGTTTTAGGCTATTTACATTTTTCACGAGGAGAACCATAATGAAATAGTGATTTTGTTAATATCTACATACATACACAAGAAAACAGAAAAATGCTCAACCTGCAAGCCACAATAAGAGCACATAAACACAGGGTTTTTAAAAGTTCATACATTCTTTGCACTGTGCAAACAGTAAGTTGTTGTTAGTTGCGATGGATTTGAAGACAAGATGCAGAGACGACTAAATGATGAACACGGATCCAAACAAAGCAGCTGTGTTTTCCCTGAATAGAACTCAATATAAAGTGGCCTTAACTAAGATGTTTAAAGGGAGTGTTGTTTTAATGCATGCCTTCATAGACTGTTGTTGTTGTTTTTGGTTTTTTTTAAAATTTCAAATCGACTATTCGGTATTGTGAATAGGACAGAAATACAAAATTCTTTACTATTTTAAATGGCATAAAATGAAATTCTTCCTGCATTCCTACATACAAACTTCAAAAATCTCTTGTGAACGCTACATCAAACCTAGTGTTTATCTTTAGAAGACAGAAGTGATGGTAGTGGCAGAAGATCAACAGATCACTTCTGTATTTTGACTGCAGGCTTAAATCCTTGGGATCAGTGGCTTTACTTTAGGGGAAAGCTGTTTTGTTTTCAGTCTGTCTTTTTAATTTAGGTGGTTAAAATTAAATTTTCACAAAAACGCTGTGCCAACTCCGACCATATGTTCCACTAAAGAAGCATGGCTATCAGCTACTTCAGTGATGGTTCAAAAAATGGCCTTTGATATCAGTATGGTGCACATTAAATCACTGTCAGCACTCCTTTACAATGTTTTCTAGTTTTCTTTTTAGTATTTATAATGCAGATTAATGTAACATGATGCAACAGTTTCATTTTTGTGAGGCTAGGAGTTTATTTCACACTTCAGGGGTTTTGTTCATTTATGTTGACATTTTTTAATGCATTCTGTGCAGCAACTGCTTTTCATTTATTTCATTCCAATAGTAGAAACAACATGCATGTTCTTAAAGGTTAATTGTTGATGTTTAGCAAGTTAACACAGTTTGATAATTAGGATATGCCAGATTTACTGTCCTCTCGGACAGAGCCAGAACTGTTTATGACCCTCGGACACAGAATGAGCAGCTAGTTGGGATGAGATTTGCTGAATTTGACTGCATTAAATTAGAATTGTTGGCTCTACCTTTAAAACTTGCTTAACATGATTTTATGATTGTCGTGTTTTACTTGACTTAAACAAGTTTACAGTCTCTGCAGGTTGATTTTGATAATTTGGTGAAATAACAATGATCAAATTAATTCATAAACTAAAAAAATATACCGGCATGCTTTAGAAATGGTTGGGAACTTTTAAAAATTTACTCTAAAACATAAGTAATAGGGGATAGAAGACAAGAAGTTAAGAGCAACATAAAATCTAACAAGTTACTTGAACAGATGTTACGTTTCATACATCAGTAAAAGTAGCCTCACTAGTGAAAGCTTACAATCGTGTATAAATGTTTAACTCAAACTTTACTATTTTAAGTTTCGAGGAATTTCTAACAGAAAAATGTAAAGGAAAAGAAAGAGAGGTGACATGCAGGATGACATGGTTGCTGTCTTGTTTTCCTCATGACTATTTGTTAAAGTCAGTCTTAGTTCTGTCCAGTTATGTAGATATAAAAGTTGAATTTTCAGTTTTGATTGCAGCTGTTTGATTGAAACATGAATTGACAGCTGTATAAATATGAGCTGTGATGATGTGATGATCCCTCCACCCCCCCTCTTGCCCCAGGGACAGGTCTGAGGTCCTTACCAGCCCCTCCTCTCCGGGTCGCAGTGAGGTAACTGCCAGGTCATTGCCGCTCTCATCAAAGGCGTTGATGTCGATTCCCCAGTTGGTGTGGGGCTGTTTGAACCAGTTCTGCAACACGTGCTTAAAGTCAATGCTTTGCCAGTGGCCGACCCTGGAGTTGAGCTCTATCTTCAAGGAGCGGATGCGGATGTGGCGGCTGCCCTGCTCCGTGACGGGCTTCAGCCGCAGGATCTGCAGGTAAACGGTGGAGGTCTGCTGCAGCGGCCGCAGATACACCCACAGCTGGGCCTTCAGCACCTTGGTGAACATCAGTTTGGGGCTGAACTTGAAGAAGCAGCAGCTGGGCTTCCCGTTTACCTGCACCAGGGGCTCCGCTGTGGAACAGAGCACAGTCACATTTATATATGTACATAGCATATGCTCTGTGGGACCAAGATCATCATCAGAAAAAGGATTTTCATTTCATTTCCACACTTAAACTTGATCAAAGCCTTTAGAAAGTCATCTGAAATCACCAACACAGCATTCATTGTTTCACTGTATATGCAAATAAGAATTTGATCTGTTAAAGTATTTAGGAAAAGCAAACGCAAAATCATCATCTTCTTCAGTATCATCATCATCATCAGCAGCAGCTGAATATAAGTTAATTCAATAAACTCAACAAACTCTGTCTTTTACAAAACAAACAAACCACTGCACTCCATTGCATATATTATTAATGAATGAAAAGGATCCTCCCACTGGAGCCAAGTGAGAACTTTTGAAGATAAAATAGAATTTGCTCTGAACGAAAAGGGGCAAACAGAATCAGCAATATCCCTCAGCAGTTTTCAAGTTTTACCTCAAGGCGATGCAGCTTTTGTGAATTCACAGAGCAAACAGGAAGGTTTTATTACTGAAGTGACAGTGGGATTTTCCCTATCTGTGATCCTAAAACACATGATGGTTTTGGAGGCCTAGATAACATTATTGTGAACTCTTTGGAGCCACAAATCACAGCAGCAGTTTTTTTCTTTGAACTTGACTAGAAAGATGTGTGTGTTCTGCACATTGATGATAAAGACTATCAGAGCTCTGCATGGCAGAGAGAAGTGACGACATGCTGGCACATTATGTGCAACTCCACTGAATGTATTCAGAACAGTAATGTACAGTTAGCAGCTCTGTAACACCCAAAACACCCAAAATATCTATTGTTTTATATGAAATGCAACTAGGTTGCTGTGGTCAATATTAACTCTATTTGCAAACGTCACATACACTTTGAGAACCTGTAATTTAAAACATAGTTCAAACCAAAACAAGATGATCAGTGTGTCTTTTGGAGCATCACATTATAGCAGCAACACCTGCATTGAATCTGAGAACTATGTTTTTTGGTAAACTGACAGCCGTCCTCTGTCTATCTACAACGAGACTGCCATCATCATATGTGCACTCGGTTCTGTTGGTCAATCTATTCAGTTGGGTTACATTTGTGATTACATTAAGGTTGGAAAACAGATACATTTGCATATTAAAACAAGAATCAGTAATGGTGGCCAGTGGCCAGATGGTAACCTTAGATTCCCCTGGGTCAGTCATAATGAAATGGTCTACCCCTATATTACAACTAGCAAAATTTAAACATCCCAAGTTTTTTAAGTGGCTCCCCCTTTGCTGAAAATATATTTGGGGAGTGGATTAAGGGTTACGTCAGAGAGCACAAGGCATCCCCTAAAATAGGCAGATTTATTCCTGTCATGATCTTGGGCTCTGGTGTTTCTGTGATTTGCACCACATGTCAAATCTGCACATGGTTCATTTACATAGACTTCCATCTGATATAATGACATCCATCCATTGAATTCATACATTCATTTCCATGTAAAGCGTTCATTTATTAAGGGAAATTTATTCTGTATCTATCTGGCATAGTAATGTGCCAACAGAGTACAATAGAATATTTAATCTGCCCCATTATCTCTGAGCAAATCTGACATATTACAACTGCAGTTTTTGGCCAAAAAAAAGTTGTTTTTTTAGTCATTTATCTTGCAGAGGAGTTGCTGGTTTGGCTTTGAAAGAAAAAGAAGATTAAAACAAACAAATAAACAAAAAAAAAACAATATGGACCTGCCAATCACTGCTAAATCTGAGGTTGCTCAGGCAACCTGCAAATGCTTCCTGGGTCAAAAGGTTATTTGGCACCTCAGCCTAGTTAAGAAATGGGATCAGGGGTCAAAACCGTCAGCCTCTTTACATCTCAGGGGTGCTGGGGAGGGGCAGCCCTAACAGCCAGATTGAGTTTGAAGGTCAAGGTCGACCCTATGGCAATGGTAATATGTCTTTCTTCACATCACGCCTTTTCACCAGAGAATCATTTGAAATCTCAGCGACACAACAGTGCTGAATCAGCCACAGTTTGTTTTTGTTTTGATTAGGGTGGAGATTCTCCAGCCAATAGTGAATTGTTTATCAAACCTCAGTTGACCACGAGAGAACACTGCAACCGGCTGTTTTTTTTTGTTTTTTTTTTTTACACTAAACAAGTGTTGTAATTGAATTATGGGCATGCATTGAGGGATATGAATTCACTGAGGTACAGATGGACTATCCATTAGAAGAGTCCAGGGCGAACGTTGAATAAGGGCCAAGCCAGGGACAGACGTGGTCCTTCAGCCTGTATTTCCAAGGACAGTCATTAGTGAGTGTAAATTATACAGTGTCTCACGCTGGACAAACAATATGTCAATGTTCCTTTTGGTGGGTTGCTGGGGTCACAGCAATTAACGTGGGTGGTGTTGTGTTTGCTCATCAGCACAAAACTGGCAATGAATGATTCTGCAGTTTGCTTGGGGTTTACTTGCGATTACTACTTTTTGTTGTTTTTAATCGCTGCAGATGGGGACGGACACACACCGGCTCGTCCTTTGCAAACACTTTTCACTGCTATTGTTATGTTGCTGAGAAAAGAAAAGAAAGAAAAACTATCAAACAAACACTGCAGAGCTGAAACATTCAGGCTCTCAAGCAGAGGCCTTTTCTGGACAAGGAGTAATCTGAGAAGTGGTCCGTGATCCATTTAGGACCCCAGTTATTAAACACACATGCACAACATATGAGCTACGTCATGTTAAACAATGCCTGCATTGATAGGTGAAATCAATTTGTGCCTTTATAGATCCTGTAAGTGCACAAGTTAGAGGCGAGCCATGGAGGATAAATGCCTGCAGCTTAATTACACCCCACGTCTTGGCAGAGCGCTGCACCAGTGCAAACGGCTAGCTTGTAAAGATCAGAAAACCAATGGGACATTTAATCCTTCTACCTGAACTAACTTTTCTTCTGCCACCAGAACACATTACTGTTAGAAAGCTTATAATTTTATTGCAACTGCAAGACTGTTTTTTTTATGGCTTAATTTCCTGGACAATTTACTTAGTTACAGCTCAGTGCTTTAACAGTCTGATTTCAATGCTGCAGTCAAGATATCATTTCAGATTTTGTGTTCAGCACCACCTACTGGAGCGATAAAAGCTCTCCGCTCGGCTTAACTGAAGATGAACGTACAGTGAGAACACTCATCTCATTTTACTTCAGTTAAAATCCAAGTGAAGTATGGACAGAGGCTGTGTTTTTCCAAAGGAAACAGGTTTGTTTGCTTTTCCTCCTCATGTTTCCAGCCTGCTTCATTATTACAGCAGCTTATTTCCCTGTGGTATAATTGCAGCATATGCAGTGCATGAATTTTACTGCCAACACACAGCAGGACTGCAGGTGAGCCTATCAAACATCTGGTGGAGTCCCTGGGTACCTGTGTTCCATAGTTAGCCTCCTATACATGCATGTAAGGGGAGGCATATAGAATATAAGGGTTTATTCCCCATGCCATCTGTCTGCTTTAATAGGATCGTAGTCCATGTAAATGCTTTTAAATAACCAAACACACTCATGTTTCTGAGGGGTAGGCAAGAGCTGAGGCAGTTAAACTGTTGAAAACACATGGACGGGGAACTTTAAGGTGTACATATGCAATGAAAGACTTACAAGTTGCCAATGAGTGAGGATAAGGATGATTCTTTATAAGTCAAACGGATATAACTTATTCTTTGATTACTGCAAGAAATAAAGAAAAAGCAAAGAAATCACAGAGGTTTCTACAGTTCTAATGACGCTTGTGATTAAACTTCCTCGTGCTGTCAACTTTTGCAATAAACATTACAACATTTACAGCTAAAGAACCCTCTCTACTCAAGCATCACAACACGATAAGAGACATAACAAGCCCAACGTGGGATTATCTGTTTCATCCCTTCCTTTTTGTCAAATATGCAGCAAAGTACAAAAACTAAGCTGGATGATAAATTTGCTTCACAGTGAAGTGTCAGGTAGTTTGACAGGATTTATCGCAGATGTTTCTAAGCTTTATAAATGACCTTGACACTCACATTGAGTAAAAATAAATGATCCAAACTCTTCGCATGTTGCATAGATGTGTGCTAACATATGCCAATCAGGTGAAAATACACAGCTCAGATGGGGTGGGGAGAGAAATGGTCATCTATTGTTAATGTCCAAATGGATAATGCATAATGGTATAAACCTAGATAGGACTTTCATTTGCATATATATCTATATTTTCTTTTCTTAATGGGAAATGCAAATGTGCCATTTTGTGGTGAGTGTGTGTTTGGGAGCCTTTGCGTTGAATAAATGTGACTCTAGGGTATCCCCACGCACCTCGGCATATTAATCATCGTGACACGTTCACGACCCTTCTAATAAGACAGGGGCCACAGTGCACCCCCTCAAACATCCCATCCCACCCCAGCCCCACTCCCTCTTTGTCTCTCGGCCAGTCCCAGGGGAGTGGAGAGGGTGGTGGGGGAGGCCGAGCTCGAGCTGAGGATAGAGGGGGGGTGTGTGTGTGTGTGTGAAGTTAGACCCCCTCATTCAGAAGCCCTCCCCTGGGACAACGGCAGGCACAAGACTCCTATTAGGACTGAGCACAGTAGCCCCCCAGGAGCAACAAAAGACACCTCCTAATGCTCCCTGTTCTAGCTCAGTGAACACACACACATGGAAACATGTAGCGGCACATAAACACACAACATGCACAAGCTCCAAACTGGCTATGTGCAGTGAACACACTCGAAACTCATTGTTTTTAGTGTTATGTATGTTTGTATTATAGGGGGAACGTCTGCTGGACAGCAGGACGGGAAGAGCGAGCGTGCAGTGAACTGCAATAAGGTGGACAGCTGGACAGCATGAAGCAAGCTGGGGTCTCACCACTTGTGTTTGTGTGCATCCACACATACGTGCAAGACATTAATGTCACAGCACAATGTTCTGCTCTGTCAAAAGCAAAACTTTTTACACACTTTAC